ACACTAAACCCTATACATAGGGAATCTTACTCACAGACTGAATCACTTCTCTGTACTGCCATCAGAAGAAATGCATGAGCATCAACATGTCTCTACTATATTACCTAATTTTGCCATTAGCTACTAAATATTACCTACTGATGTGGAAATAAAAACCCAGCACAAGAAATAAAAATAATACTTTATAACAATATCTATTACCCATTTACAGTGACCACCAATGTAAGGTGACAATTGACAAAGGCCACCAATCTACACCACCAGTGTAAAGGGAGGTTTCACTGAGGGGGCTGCGTTAACCTATAGTCTGTAAAGTAGGTTATACACTATTAACTGTTGCACTGTGTATGCTATGCTGTATGTTGCATTCTCCAGAGCACTATGCCCTGATGTATGTTACATACCCTTGGTAGACATGTGTGATTCATTTCATTCCGAATTGAAATGTGTACGAATTTCTGTAAATTAGGACATTCGGATGCATCTAAATTTCTGAATGACCGAAATAACTAATCCAAATGAATCTGAATTTTTGATAACGAAATTCAGATACTTACGAATTTCATTCGTAATGAAATGCAACAAGCTGGAGAGCTGTCATTTTACCGCTCTCTGGCTTCTCTGACTTGTATCCCGAATGAAAGCAAAGTAACACAATATTGTTACAAAATGTAAATAAAGAAAGAAGCTGAGAGATCTGTGTTATGCCCCAGTGTTTTTTTTCCGAGCTGAAAAGCATGAAAATAGAAATCCCATTTATTCCTATGGGAGTCGTTCACGCAAACACGATGAATCGCGTGTAACAATACGCTTGTTGTTTAAAATAGTCCATGAGGTTCTTTTGGGACGCTTATCAGCCAGCTCATTTTGTTCTATAGATTTCAATGGAAACAAGCCAATTAGCGCGTTTTTTCACTTTTTTATATTTTGCACGTTTTTGCAGCTGAGACTGCTTTTCATTGGACAACTGAAAAGCAGACACTCGATCCCGAATGTAAAGAATCTGACAGCTGTCACAGAATACAGAAAAGTGTATAACTGTTTACAGAAATAATCATTTAAATAAACAGCGTGTGGTTCCACCTACAACTTAGGTCTGGTAGGAATATTAAGGTGAACCCCAATGGCAATTTTGTTTTCAAATGTGGGGCCCCCCTAAAATACCCTACCAAACCCTTAATCTTGGCAGCAGCCTGGCAGGGCCGCTCACTCCACCATACCAGGTCCCCTAGAAAAGCACCTTGTCCCCATGCCAAAACATTGGTGTGGGAAGTTTGTATTGTTTTAAAACGCTGGAATTACTTTTTTTAAAATAAAGAAATTGTCAAAAACTCATGATGTGTTTTTTGTTCAATTGGGCTGAATTTGCTGGGCTAACCAGTCACGGGCAAAATAGCAGTCATTTGAAATATATGCCATATTATTTTTCTTACAGTGAAATGATCAATTCCAAATAATTTGTCAATCTTTTTTTAATCCCTTGCTATAATTATAGGCATCCACAGCCTTCTTTCTGAGGGCCTTAGAGGGTTATTTTGATCTTGGCATGATGAAACCACACATGTGAGATATCCGAGATTTAAATAAGATAGATTCCATGTGACACCTCTGCATTTCCATTCATTCAGATCATGATAATGGATGCACTATGTCAATTGTATCATTTGTTTAGGTACCTCTCCTCCATCCTATGCTGAAGCAACCAAATAACAAGCTAAAATAATGGAGTATTCTAACAAACTAATTTAGAAACACCTGTAATGGGTGCATGAGGTGACTAATCTGTGTCATGCAAGCAGAGGGAACTATGCAGGGGCAGCTTAGTTTTCCAGGCAGATCAGTTATTTTCTGACATTTTTTTTGAACATTACAGTTTTAAAATTCTGTTGTTAATAGGGATGCACCGATACCACTTTTTTAAGACCGAGTACGAGTACCGATAATTTTGATCAAATACTCGCAGATACCAATTACCGATACTTTTTGTTAAAGGGATAGGTCAAATTTTTTCTAAAGCAATACATACTAATGCTTTAAGGTCACTTTCTTAATATTATGATTCATGAGATGACGAGGGAGCATGACGCCGGCTTCCCGGCCAATCAGAATGCCGGGCACTGCGTCATTACATGGCGCCCGGCTTCCGGATTTGCTAGCTTCCTGACCAATCGGGAAGCCGGGTAGCGCGTCATTGCACGCTACTCGGCTTCCTAAGTGACGAGAGAGCATGGAGCCGTTCCCCTGCCAATCAGGAAACCGGGCAGCGTGTAATGATGCGCTGCCCGGCTTCCTGATACAGGAAGTACTCGTGCTAGGTATCGGAGCATTTGGGTGAGTACGAGTACTCACCCAAATACTCGGTATCGGCACCGATACCGATACTAGTATCGGTAACGGTGCATCCCTAGTTGTTAATATTCTACAATATAGAATTACAGTTACACACTTATGCTTTGTGATTATGTTGCTAGTTTGAGGGTTAGAATTAAATTTAGGGGCCATTTCTAGAAATTGTACTTCTTTCCATCCTTCTAGGATTGCTAACCTCAATTAAGAAATGGATTCTTCACTTTCCACTTGTGGTACCGACTTAAATTAATGATAGATATTTAAAATTCTTGTAAACCTGGAGTGTATGCTAGCTTTCATCAACTCTACACACCTCTGTGCATTGCTACGGTAAAGAACGCCTATCACTATTAGCTGAGGCGGCGCCCCTTCTGACCAGCCACCTTTTTTGTCCTGTTCTCCCACTATTCTGCTTTTTCTCTATTTTCTTCTCTCCCATTATCACCTAACCCAACTGGCTAATAGGTATATTAACATACTTAGGCTAGTATGCCTTACTCTCATCTCATCTCAGCAGGGGTTGAGGAGGCAGCAGGAGTGCTGCCTTCTCACCCCTGCTTCCTTAACCTGCCGTATTTACTGAAGTCCCAGCCTGTCAGATTGTATGTATTGTTGAAATATAATATTATTGCACAAAGTTTGCCAATTTGGCATCTCTTTTTTTGTCTTTTTGATGCCTCTAATTTAAGGTGTATTCTTGAAATTTTTAAGTAAAAATTAGCCCCGATGCTGGCGACGTACACTGAACGTCGTCAGTCACGAAGGGGTTAAAAAAATATATGGGTCAGTTTGAGGGTCATTAGTTTGAGGGTCATTAAGGGTTACATTTTAGGGGGTTAAAGCTGAACTCCAGGCAAACAGCCTAATACACATACATTGAAGTACATATACACAATTTATGTGTATTAGGCTTAAGTGCATATGTATATGGTAGGCGCCTTACCTATTATAGTATTTGTATTTCTGTCCATCCATTCTAGAGATATAAATAGCCCTACCTGCCTTTTTTCTGCTGCGGTTAACCAAACACATAGGTATACTCCTTTTACCCAGCCTGTGAAGGTACAGTGAAAAAGCAGCAACAGACTAGTGAAGTCATCTCTCCAGGACTGGCTTCCCATTATGCCCACTCCTTTTCCCAGTTTCCGTACTGCTGTGCAAGAAATAACTAGAGGCTTCAAACAATTCAGACTAAAGTATTTATGTTAGTTGTATTTAGAATGTAATCATTTCCTTTAATAAATACTTTGCTGCATTCAGTTGTGTTTTTTAATATCTGCCTGGAATTCAGCTTTAAGGGATACATTTGGATTTAGAGGTTGCTGTTAGGGGATAAGCTAAAACTTAGGGTTAGAAGTTAGGTTGAGGGTGGGGGATTAAACTGAGATTCAGGGTTAGCAGTTATGAAAAGAATTAGGGGCAGGGGTTAGGTAGAGATTTAGAGTTGAGGTTAGGTTCAGAGTTAGGAATAAGTTCAAATTTAGGGTCAGAGGTTAGTTAGAGATTTAGGGTTGGGATGAAGTTTAGAGTAAATGTATTGACAAATATGCATTAGTGACAACAACAAAAAATCAAACAACTATCATTTAACTCATCTAATGCAAACATTTGCATAGAAAACACTGTCAGAAAATTGATAGACATGGCTCTTTCTATAAAGATTGGCATAAAGAAATGAATGTCTTTTCTTTCAGAACACATTTGCGAACTAATTTATTCCAAATGCATAAAAGGGCTAATTAAACTTTGTTTTGTGAAATTGGTGAAATGGTTCTGGTCAGCGTTGTACTCATTTGAAAAGCTTTGTGCAGAAAATGGAATAGGTTTAAAAAGTGGTAAATGAAAAAGTGATGCATTCTAGGTTAAAAAAAAAGGAATTAAAAACTATAAAAATTATTATACATATTGAACTCCAAGCAGTTCAATATAGTATATCCAGTCTACACCCTTTTTTGTTCTGCGTTGGGTTAGCCCCAATAAAATGCTATTACATGCAATAAAATGAAACATAAAAAAATCTAAAACTTTAAAAATCAAAAGCATTATAATTGAAAGTGGCCAGACTGGCCTTATAGCAACCATGTACATACATTTGTCACCATACCCTGCCTCCATTACCAGTATATAAGGATGCACCAATACCACGTACCATACTCGGTACAAGTACAAGTACACATACATTTCCAGCTCTAGGACTAAACTAGAGAAAAATTCAAAAGTTAGGAAGCAGCTTTATATATATATATATATATATCTAATAATAAAAAATGCCAAGTATCAGCACTGGTATCTGAAAAGTATCGGTGCATCCCTATATAGGACTATAGAAGTGGGGGTAAAAAGTCAATTCATAGTTATGCCACTTTAAACAAATACAAACTATGTAAGAATATACCAAAATGCTTACAAACAATTTAAAAAAACATATATGTAGACTAACTTTTATAAGTTGATAATAGGTACATACAATAATATGTGGAGTATTCAACAGCATGCACACTAATAAATGGGTTCCTGGATTTTAGTTTTGTGACATATGATGCTACTGGTCACATTCAAATGAATGCATATGGTGTATCACTTAAACCAGCAGTGACAAATATATTCTATGCACAAACAACATGCAAATAATAGACCAAGACATAAATTACCGAGAATCAAACATTGCCATGAAGTGAGGGTATCTGACATTCCCATCTTCGTCAAGGGAGGCTCTGTCAAGTAGCTGCTCAAAGTCCTCATCAGTAATCTCTACACCAAACCTGAAACAGAGGTTAGTACCAGTCAATCAAGTAGTTTGTTTGCCTCTCAAGCGCCCACAATACCACAAGCATATGGCTGCCATTAACGCTGTCACCACTCTGCCCCTCGCCATCAAGAATGCCCACGTGAATATCAGAGGTTAATCATGTTTTTCCGCAGTGAAAGAATTTCAAGCTCAGCACCCGCACATGAGCCTGGCCAGTAGACAAGATACCGGCATAGAAAGCCATGTCGGATTGTCCTCTATAAGACTGTATTCATTGGGCTAAAACACTGTATTGCTTAAACAAGTTAACACTGCAAAGGGGCTTTTCAGTAGTGCCGGTTAGCTTGAAAGGAAATTTACAAAAAAACATTGCTTTCCATAAGAAACACAGAGTGAATTTGGAAAGTGCATTGTCAGGGCTCTTAAGAGGAATAACTGGAAAGTGCCAGTATTTGTTCAATAGCAACAAAGTGTTTTCATCCCTGGAGCATAATTTAAGCATAATCCCCAAAACACATTCAGAAATCAGGGTGACTTAAGAAAATAATGATTAACAAGGCTTCATTCATTATGTGGAGACGGTGATAATGAACAGCTGACTTTTGGGGGAAGAAGGTTGTGGAGGGGATGGGAATTGCGGTAAGTTTCTTTCCTTGTGGCAAGGGTAAAGAATACTATGCCACAAGTAACTATTCAACTCATTTTGCAGACTGTTCATCACTTTGACAGATTTATGTAAATAAAACAGACCTTTGTAAAACTACAGAAGGATTCCCTGTCATGGCTTTAGACATAAATGTCTTTCTCAGGACAAAAATTGCCCAGTTCCTTAAAGGTTCTGTAAAGTTATGTATATCACAGTGGTAGCAGCTCATTAGCATGTAAAAGGCATTTTGCTTAATTCCGATCTTGTACATATGTGGTATATAGCCCAGCACAATAAAATATGGTAATATACTTCATGCAATTATGGAAGCCCGCACAGCTCTTTAAAGGTTAGATGCATTAACCTCTAGAGTTCTAAAATGTACTAAATGAGAACAAGTGAAGTCCTGCAAACCCACAGGTCTAAAACACAAGAGATGATGAATAGGTAAATGTGCAGCCATCTAAAATGAAAGCAGTTTATTTGATATGTCCAGCCTTTTTCATACTATATACTAAAATGAAAGTATAGTATATTACTAAAATATACTATATACAAAAGTTTTTATGAAAAGTTATTAATATTATTCCTCCCAGTTCTAAATTAATAAAAAGAGATCCAGATGTCAGGTGATGGCCTACAGTATATACTTAAAGCATGTTTATTTGTACACACGATTTATGCACAAGATATTATTATTATTACTACTACTGACTTGTATATTGCTTTAATAAAAAGCATCCAATAAATCTAGATTTTCCATTAATGAACCTTGCTGACCAAGTAACTATTGACAAAGCAATATAAAATTATTCCATATGCAAAATGTTTCACAGTTACATAGTTAGTCAGGTTGAAAAAAGACACATGTCCATCAGTAATGATTTAAAATGCAACTGCACTTGGAACTTTTTTCCCCAGATCTATATCATGTTTTTCCTGCTCTCCTTTTAACCAGGGAATACAATGTGGAAGTGATGGGCTCAGTGCATATTCTATACATTTGGAGAGGGATAAATAGGCTTATTTTTCACTACACACCACAGAGAAAAATAAATAGTGACACCAAACACACACACACATATATATAGCTCGTTTTATCTTGAGGGATGTAATGGGGACAAATACTTACCTTTCACCTTAGTCCCACGACAGCTATATGACCAAAGAAGAAGATGGGGACAGATAGTCCAGTGGGAGGATTCCTGTGGGATTGTGGTGTAACGTATGTAATGCACTACATTAGTGCCCTCTAAACAAGCAGTATATCTTGTATTCGCCTATCAATATCTATTTTGCTGTCAGCCTGAATTTCCACTTTAACAATTCTGTAAAGCTGCATTTTCTCTTAGTTTTTCATAAACTGGGGAAGGATTAGAACCTCTGTCAATTTTTATTAATATCTGGGTCCCCACTGGTTTTGTGGTCAATGAGACAGGATGTGAGAGAAAATCCCACTATGGGACACAAGTGGTAAAATATCTGCCAGTTTTCTACTACAAACAATTCATGCAACAACAGAATTCATCTTTTCAGAATCAAATCCTTACAGGTTTATTACTGGCTGTGTCCTGTAACCCTTCGTTAAACCTTACCTCATACCCTGACCTTAAAAATTAGATTTCTCAATCCATGCTAAACAGAATGGAGGAACAAATCTCCTGCTGCAGCTATTGTATTCCAAAACGTTCAACCTAACCCCAATGCTAAATTACCTCTCACTTCTTGTAAGAGAAAACATGAAGCAAGGAAATCCTTCCTAACAGGAATAAGCAATGAAACCCTGACAACTCTACCAATAAAATAACAGCAAATCTTGCTTGAATTTGGGCTTTAAATATGGCTTCATGCATTGCTAATGCTCCGTAAAACATGAAGGATGCAATAATGTTTCTTGCTATTCTTTCCACAGGTGCTACAGAAATAAAGGTGTCTTATAGTACAGATAAGCTTCCTATTGCCTTTTCTACAACCCTTTCATGTCTGACTTCTACAATCCATAGCTGTACAGCTAGCCTGAAACTACTGTGATGATATCATACAAAGATCAAGGGCTCCGGCACACAGGTGAATTCCCTATTAAGCACTGAAAACAGAGGCTATATATATGTATATGAGATGTTATAAAAGTTGTAGGGAACAGAAAGGCTTTGTGACCTTATGTATTTATTAACATTCCATGTGACCCCCAAATCAAAATTCTTTGATCAATTTTCAGAGAGCAATAGGGATTCTTGGTCATATAGCAAAGCTCTCCAGAAATTGGCCATGGGACAGAGACCTAATGAAGATAACAATAGCAATCTGATGGTTTATTATATACCAATTAGTCCACCATTGTGAATTAATCACTCACAGGCAGAAGACAACAAGCACTCCAGCTATTTCAAGGGCCAGCTGCTAATACATTACAATAACATAATACAATCTGATATTTTTAGAAAAGTGCAAATGTACAGAAATATTATGTCGTCACAGGCAGGCAGCAGGTGCCAAAGATATATAGAACAATTACAAGACAAGCGCCTGACCTTTGGATGAATCAGTCAGTTGGGAAAGTGTCATTCTCCCACAGGCATTATCCCTATTGTCTATGGGTAGCCAAGGTGTTCCTGTACACTGGTGGCATGGGACAGCTGAATTAGAAAACCAGTCAGACACGTTCTTAACATATCACTGGCTTTATTTTGAATGGCCAAAGCATCCTGATAAAAGTTTCATTTTTATGCCAGTTATCCACAATCTAACAATAGTTGATATGCATGAGAGCTGAATGGGAGACAGTGATGGAATATTGAGACAATGGCAGGATTAGGACACAATAGTGGAAAGCCGGAGCGATGGAGGTTGTGAGACAGTGAAGAGGAAGGCAGAGGAGCAGCGGGGGGAAGATGATGGGGGGTGGAAATGCTAAGAAATATCTTTGTTATTTGGACATATAACCCTCATAAGATATCCAGTGGAAGATGACATGTATCCAGAATCTCTCTCTCTCCTAATCCTTCCTGGTTAAAGAAGGGTTACTGCTATAGCGTAGAACCAGCAGTAGTACAACTGCACTTCCATTAATGTCTTAGTTTCTCAAGTAAAAGGAATCCTGATCCAGAAAGCCAGGCTTTCTAGATGAGACATCCCAGATTTCTGTTTTAAGGCATATAAATGTTTTTTACTAATGACTTGTTTAGTCTTATTAGGGAATCAGAGCAAGGGAAACTAAAATAAATCTGTTATTTATAACAGTCAATCAGATGTAACTGTTATTTATGCAGAGTATGTAAATTATTCTAATTATATAATTAGTAAACACAAATTTTTTTTTTCTTTTCTGCAGCCATACACTGCACGATTATCGTACGAGAATCGCGGGAAATCCCGCGATCATACGATAATCGCAAAGTGTATGGAAGACGTGCGACCGTTTCTACTGTACGGTCACACGTCTTCCGTCGAAGAAGCAGGCTGGAAAACCCGCCGAGAGTCGTACAATTCTCGGGAAGTTAGTAGCCTGCTTGTTCGACAACTGCCGAACGGGCCGGTGTGCGCACGCGCACACTGCCCGTTTGCAGTCATCGGAAGCCCGCCCCTCATTGCAGTCATCGGAAGCCCGCCCCTCAGGGGAGCAGGCTTGCGATGATCGCAAGTACGATCTGCCTGTCCAAGATGGGCAGATTGTACGTTTTTTAAATTACTTTACAACCCTCGCAAGACAAAAGTCTTGCGAGGGTTGTAAAGTGTATGGCCACCTTTAGTGACCTCCTTCAATATGTCACTCCCGAGTCCCAACCAATCTATTAATTGATGATTTATCTGTATAACATCATGCTGTAGCAGGGTGATGATCCTGATTTATTAAAGTGTGGCATTACTGCTGTAAAATTAAGTATCAATAAAGATCCATTGATGTGCAGGGCAAATAAATAAAGTGGACCTTCTGTTGCTCATGTCTGGATGTTTGATGTGAACACACTGAATTCAGTCTCCATACACAGTTTAGTAAATCAGGCCCACAGTCAAAGGACTTGCTCACGCCATGCCCGTTGAGCTGTGTTTTTCTGCATACCACCGCACATGTAAGGTATGAACACTTGTTCTCTATGTGCCCTGTTCATACCATACATGGTGGTGGTGTGCAGAAAGATGCAGCTCAGTGTATATGATATGTCAACAAGCCCTAAAGCTTAGCTTGAAATCTTGATCTGTTTCAATTTCAATACTATTTCTACCCAACAACACACAAGGTGCACACCAAAGAAATGGTGGTTAATTATTGGTGAGTGATAACATGAAAAATCCTCCAGGGATTTGCATCCTAAAGCTCACTACACACTACACTACACACAACTTGATTGTGGAATCTACTAACAACTACATAGTGCAAGAGTCTGCCTGACTGCACACAGAGTGATTAGACAAATTAGGTCCTTGCATTATATAGTTTTGGTAACACTGATTTTGATTATACAAAGATTGTGTGGTCTGATTGTAACTTATATGGTGACCCTAAGTGTTATATAGAACAAATTATATACTTAAGTATCTAAAGTAGAAAAGCCATTTAACTAACTTTGACTTTGACCATACAATCATATCATCACATATGAGCCAGGACCTTCCAAGCAAGGAGACTGATTTACTAAACAATAGAGACCTTTAGGAGAGTGCTGGGCTGATTTACTAAAGGAGTCGAGAACTTTCACTAAAATAATTGGTGATTATTTTCACTTCAGTTATCCAATTATGTGAAAAGCATCTGCACATGATTTAGTACTCACATGCACATGTTTGGATAATTGAAGTGAATAGTCACACATTTGGTTTGCGTAAAGATTCTCAACCCCTTGAGGAAATCAGCCTCTAAATGTTCACGTAGCAAACTGAATGTTCTCTTAGCTTAGCTGACTACCCAATCAAGAGAAATGAAAACAAAATAGCTTGCACAAAATTGGATGGTTGAAGCGAAAGCAGCTTCATCTTATTAACTAAGCTAAGTAACCATTTACTTTGCTATGTGAAGAGTCTCTATTACATTAATATATCAAACACGTAGTCCTTTCTGCTGACTTTCAGTGACCTCACTTTAGCAATATCTCAGAAATGCGGGGACCTGTGGAAGCCTCCCCATGTACAGAAATGAAGTTATAAGAACTATCTACCTATAAGAACAGTCGGTAGACTTCAGAGAAGCTTGTAACTAACAGTGAGCCTGTGAAGAGAAAGGCCGGCCACAAACTGGTTGAATTTTGACCTAGTCTTTGGCTAATGTGTGGCTGAGTCGGCACCCTTACGTTCAACAAAAGATGATTTTCCAATTGACTTTTGTTGAAGGGGCAAACTGAAAGTTCTCAGCCGAACAGTAACTTTGACAAATCATTTGCAGTCACCGTTCGGGTATTCTGATAGCCTCACACCCACGGCTGTCAGAATACAATAGCCCAGTGAGGGTAAAACCCACATCCATGAATTGAGCATTTTCTCTTGAGCAGAACAAGAAAAAACAATCATTAAATGGCCGGCCATGGTGGATAATAAAATACAGTCAGAGAACACAGAGGGAGATACAATCTGAATTATATGTGAATTATATTTGTGATATTCAGTCTCAGTGAACCTACCTGCTTTCTATTGCAGCTCGAAATTCCTGCTGGCTGATCACATTTCTGTTGTATTTATCAATTTTTCTGGGGAAAAAGGGAAAGTGAGTCAGATTGTTAGTAATATATAGTATATCCAGATCATTCATACTTTGGAGTTGTTTACTTCGATATGTATCCTTTGACCTGGCTGCAGGCAAGCCAAGGATTTCTATTGTTGGGTTTATTGTATCAGATATCTTTTTTAATTTTATAACCCATAACAAAAACTTGTTTTGTTAATATGAGAATAAAATACTCAGCATGCATTTTAATACTAGTCTGTCCACTAAAGTGCTGCGATTCAGCGGACAGACTAGTGCACTGTGATAGCTCTGGTAGTGTGCGGCGTCGTATCACACTGCCAGAGCTGTCACTGTTTACATTTTATATATATGTATTTGTGTATTTGGCGTGTACAATGTGTTAACTCCATTCAGGTCTCCGTCAATTTGTAGTGGCATGTTTGCATTTTAGCACAGAACAGCGCCCCTTCACACCCATGTTGTGGTGTGAATGGGACACATAGAAAACAATTGTTTTCTATATGTCTTGTGGTGATCTGTCTAGTGCGGTACAACACAGGGCAATGCTGTATGTGTGTACGATTACATGCAGACTGCCGCTTACAGATGCAGCCCCTGTCATCCTGTCATTAATTTGAATGGGTACAGCGGCCGCATCTAAACAGAACACCTGGGTTTCCTGATGCAGGAATACATAGATTCTTACCGCAGCAGTTCCAGAATGCCCCGTGTGAATGGGGCCTGAGTTGTAACCAGAAAAGGTTTCCTCATTGGAAGATTTACTTTTACCTCCTGTTTCTGTGACAACTCAACAATGTTGGATTTCCCATCCCTTTCTCTACAGGAGACAAGGATCACCGGGACCAATTGTGAGGGTGGAATTCTCCTGTGGAGACACTGACAAACATAATAAATACCTCAGAGATGTAAAGAAATGTCACCAGCACTACAAAATGCGAAAAATATAATGCTTATTGCAAATAACGTCACATAGATCAAAACTGCCAGCGTTTCGGGGCTGCGCAGGGTCCCTTTCTCAAGGCATCACTGTAATGTTATTTGCAATAGATGCTTTTTTTCTTTGCATTTTGGAGGCTGGCGACCTATCTACACATCTCTGAGGTTTGAGCACCGATCTTATCTACATAGGTCACAATGCTGTATGGTGTGCAGCAGGCACTTTCAACAGGAAATAATTACCTGACAGAGATTCTATCCTTTACACAGTCTTTCCATAGCTTAAAATATGTTTCAGCTTTAAATATATTTTAAACCGCCTGACAGTATATACGTACCTGCTGCCATTATGAGAAGCCACCACTGTCCATATTGCAATTTTAATTTATTTGATATAATGAAATATACAACAGGAGGTGCTGTAACATGCAGAGGTGGAAGCGAACACCCAGAGCTACCAGGTGGACATAAACAACCTAAAGGTATGATAGGGGTATCTCTCTGTTGGGGTACCCTAAAATACATAGAATGTCAAGGGTTGACTTTACCTATCAGGCTTCACCCATAACAAAAATAAGAGCTTTGTGTGGACTGACAGTACCATGTATATGTATTTTGATGTGAACAAGCCATGAGAGAAAAAAACATTATAATGTATCTTAATTTTGTAGCAGAAGCCCAGTTTTCCAATCAATTACATTAATTTTGGAATAGATGACTGTCACCATGTCATTTACTTCAATGTGTACAATGGCCGCATCTGAACGGGAACACCTGGCATTCCTGCCAGAACACCCCGTGTGAATGAAGACTAAGGCCCCATATACACCTGAGCATAGCGGGAATGCGTGTCATATTCTTGTGTGTTTGTGAGCATTTGTTTTCCACGCTTGCTGTGTGCCCTCATTGATTTTAATGGTGTTCTGAACACGCAACAAATGTGGAAAAGAAGTGCATTTAGCAAAATATGCAACATGCATTCTATGTTTTTCTCCTCCACTTTTGCGCATTCACCCAGCTGGGTTTGGGGTGCCATTACCTGGTAATGGCACAGAAATTGTGTTTAGCACTTTTTATGTGTTTCGCAAATGCACGTCAAAGTGTGCATTTTGTTGCGCGTTTGACGTGCGTACACGAAGCACTCAGGTGTAAATGGGGACTTATAGTGTAATTCCCCTCACTTTGAAGAGATCGCCTCTTACATCCTGGTGTGGTGGGTCTTAACTATTCCCTATCCCTGGATGCATCCTGCCTGCATACCTGAACATCCATCTGTCCCTAGCCGCATGTAACCACTCGGCATGCGGTTACATGCAAACAGCCGCAATTCCTGTAAGCTTATCATTGATTTGTACAGGCTTTCTGACTGCAGTTGATCACACACACACACCTGTGATCCATGCCGCAGCTTTTTACTGATTTTTTGCCGTGTACAGCCTCTGTGGCAGAGGCCATATTGTATAATTATTGTAAAAAATGTAACTTTAAATGAAAATTGTAAAAAATTAAACTTACTCAAATGTCGCAAGTAGTGCCAAGAAGTCTGACTGGAAGAGGTTTGCCAGCCTGGCTTCCACTGCTGTTAGAGTAGACACAGGGCTAATGGCTCCTTCACGATGAAACCTGGAAGCAATAGACATTATTTCCAAAATGGAAGAACTTCAGTCACAAAAAAAAAATTGTTATGACATTTATAAAAATAATTGCCAACCATCAGCTTGTATCTATTTTACTTACAATTGTACAGTCTTCATAAGTAGCAAATTGTGCTTACTTTAAAAACTAGTTACAGACCCTGTATAAAACCCCCTGTGTCAACAGTAGACTTCAGCATAAAACAATGCAGGGGGTATGGGTTTTTGCAGCCAGGACCACCTTATACTTTAGCACAAATGGGGCAGCTTCCCTGGGCCCACCTGTCCAAAAGGGAAGGTCAAGTGATACAAAAAGGTAATAACTGTGAGGTATCAGCTGATGAAGAAAGTAGGAATACAGTTTTTAGGTGGCAGAATAGGCTTCCCTGAAGAAGTGAGTATTCATGGATCACATAAACGCAGACAGAGATAACTGGAGAGATTGGTGTAAGGAGTTCCAGAGGATGAAAGAGACCCTGCAAAAATCCTGGAGGGGAACATGGGAGGAAGTGATGAGGGAGCTAGAGAGCGGAAGGTCTTGGAAGAAGCGGCATGGACAGTTTAGGTGATATTTTGAGATGAGGTCAGTGATGTAGCCGAATTTTTTTTATGGCTACTGAAAGCCAGTGGAGGGTTTGGCATATAGGAGTGGCAGCCACAGAAAGGTTGTTAAGGTGGTAAACTGAAGAAGGCAATAGCCTGTGTAAATGTAAGCCAACGAGAAGGTAGTTGCAATAGTTGAAGCAAGAGGTTACAAGACGATAAATTAGTAGCTTTGCGGTGTAATTTGTTAAGAAGGGGCACATTTTGGAAATGTTAACCTCTAGATGCAGGGCCGGAAAGAGAGGCCAGGATTACACTTAGCACCCTGGCATGAGCTAAGGGACTGATAGTTGTGTTACTGTTCTCGAAGGAGAAGTCAGAAAGTCAGAGAAGGGGACACAGCAAACAGCGAGGGAGGGATATTATAAGCTCAGTTTTTGAAGATCCACATCCACAATAATATGTCAGTAAGACTAGAGATTAATGACAAGACTGAAGGGGTGAGCTGAGGAGCAGAGTGATACATTTGGATTTTGGATGTTGTCAGTGTACATATGGTTTTGGAAGCCGCGGTATTGGAATCCTCCTCCATGGGTCATCAACCCATAGTGTATATAGAGAATAAAAGGGGACAGAACCTTAGGCAACCACTACAGAAAAAAGGAGAGGAGGAGATAGAGTTGTAGGTGACATTGAAGGTGCACAGAGATTGTTATGAGGAGAGCCAGAAGTAGTGTCAATTGTTTTTAGCAGTTTAGCATTAGTGAGTTTTAGTTGAGTGCTGTGCGCAGAAGCCAGCCTGTAATAGGTCAGTTATAGACAAGGTGTTCGAGGAGTCGGAGGTGAGCAGGAGCAAGGAGATAGGTCATAAGTTGTTCAACTGGTGTGGGACAGTGAGGGCTTTTTTGAATATGGGACAGATCAGTGCCTGTTTTAGAGGGGTGGGAAGATGCCAGTGGAAAGGGAGAGATTGGTGATGTGAATTAGAGACTGTAGGATACAGCAAAGGGGAAGAGGTTAGGTGAACCTCAGAAAAAAGTTTAGCAATCTCCATTGTGTTAACAGAATCAAAAGAAGAAAGCATTGAATGTGGTGGTCAACCTGTTATGTTCTGCCATGTTGTTTTCCTGACCCATGCATTCTAGGTTATGTTGTATTCCTGAAACACACAGTCTATACTCCAAATTCCTGGCCCCTGCGCTCTTTTTGCCATGCTGTATTCATGACCTGCAACACTATACACTAAGTGGTATTCCCAACCCCTGCACTCAATATGCTATGCTGTATTCCTAACCTATGTACTCTATACGCCATGTTGTATTCCTGACTTGCACACTCTTTGTTGTATATTACATACTTCTTACCAAGGTTTTTATTGTATTTACAGTTGCTGGTAGCAGTTTGCCCACCAACTGTTTTAATAAAGTTCTAATTTATTGTAGGATCAGAAAAAGTGTTAGCTGTTTCTGTGTGCAGAAAATCATATGTGATAAAATAATAAAAAAATGTTTCTTATGATCCTTTATTTTAAAGTTTGTGAGTTTGTGAGACTGTCATTTTGTGGCACAGTAACTGTTTAGTTTATGAATACAAGAGTGAAGTCAGAACTCCTAATCCGCACACTTCTTCCTGGTCAATGACCCAGAAAATTCTGTAACTATTAGATCATCATGACAGTCAGGGAACTAGTATTTACAAAAAAAGGAGGTCAACATTTGAGTAGAGATCTGGATAAAGGAAAGCTGGTGGATGTGGTGTACCTGGATTTTGCAAAAGCATTTGACACAGTACCACATAAACACTCAATATACAGTACAAGCTGAAATCTATGGGCATTGATGAAATGGTGTTCACATGGATAGAGAACTGGCTACATGAACGTGTCCAGAGAGAAAATGGCTGTTTTTCAGATTGGTCTAAAGTCGGGAGTGGCGTGCCCCAGGGTTCTGTACTAGGCACCAAACTGTTTAACCTGTTTATTAATGATATTGGGGAGGGTGGTAATAGCCATGTTTCTGTGTTTGCAGATGATACTAAAATTGGGAGGGTAATAGACACGAGCTTAGAAATTATAACATTACAGGAGGACCTGGATTAAATAGGGAAGTGGGCAACTATTTGGCAGATGAGGTGCAATGTTAATAAATGTAAAGTAATGCACTTTGGGGTTAAAAACAAGCAAGCAGAATACACATTAATGGGAACTCCACTAGGGAAGTCAGAAATGGAAAAAGATTTGGGTGTCATAGTGGACATCAGATTGAATAATAGCTTGCAATGCCAGGCTGCGGCAGACAAAGCAAGCAGAGTACTGTCTTGTATTAAAAAGGGAATGTACCGTAGAGACAAAGTGATAATTTTGCCACTTTATAGATTGTTGGTTCGGCCTCATCTTGAATATGCGGTTCAGTTTTGGTCCCCAATCAACAGAAAGGATGTCTGGGAGCTGGAGAGAGTCCAGAGAAGGGCAACTAAACTAATTAAGGGGCTGGAGGATCAAAGCTATGAAACAAGGTTGCTAAATTTGGACTTGTTCACGCTTGAAGTGAGGGACCTAAGAGGGGACATGATTTTAATGTACAAAATGTTTAGTGGTGATGGCAACATCAGCAGTAAACTTTTTACAGTAAACTTACTAACACGGACTAGAGGCCACCACCTAAAATTGGTAGAGAAAAGATTTAACCACAAAGGGTGTAGGGGCTTCTTCTCAGTCAGAGTGGTTCAATTTTGAAACTCTCTGCCACAAACAGTGGTATCAGCAGAGTGTATTGAATCATTTAAAAACCAATCCTCAGAGACCGTAAAATACAGGAGTACAGGTACACTTAAAAACCTAGGACCACACAGAGACTCACATACACACATGCACGCACTAAACACACACTTGCACATAAAGGTGGAACTTGATGGACCTGTGTCTTTATTCAACCTCAAATACTATGTAACTAACATCACGACAGTCTCCATACTTCTTCAGTACAGGTTTCCTTTAAACTGAGAGAGTCATTTTGTCAGTATGTTAGTAAAGTAGTCTTTATCACCACCTAGTGGGCAACATTTTAAGTGAGCGTAATATTTTTGTTAAAGCATGAAAAAAATGAATAAATTGCCATCAACATATAGATCATTGGTCATATAGACCAATACATATCTTTCAAAAATTCTCAAAGTTTCTATAATAACTGCTCCGACCTGTGTTTTGGGTTGGAGAGTATTTTGTGCGTGATCCCTTTTTCACTGCGGTCTTGGAAATTCTTAAGAAAGTCCATGTAGCTGATCCCTGTCAGGGAGTTATCTAGGCCACATCTTGCCAGGAAAAGGTTGAAGTGCTCCTCTTTAAGTTTTAAATCGAACTTCTCCAACACGGTGATAAAATCCTCCTTCTCAACCTATACAAAGGCAAAAGGGTGTCACACTGTATTAGAATTCCAGCAGTCTCAATCTTAGCTATACTGATTTATCCATTTCAATTACAAACTGCACACTATTTACACACAGTACTTCTTTCATTTCTTTGAGGGTTTCCTCTTAATTCTTTGTTGCACTGCATAGTCAACATTCGGTGAATAGACTACACTAAACAATCTCTATTATTAGTATTTGAGGAGACACCCCTACCACTTCATATACCACCAGACCACATCTGATTGTGTAAGATCTTCTAACACAAAATATCCCCTTATGATTCTGCATTATTGCTGTACTGGCGGAAGTGTGTTATTGTTAAATCATAAAAAGGGATTTCTTAAGATTATTGTGCTCATATATTCATCAATGAATTATATATAGTATGTTCTATGTCAGGCATGTCAAACTCAAATAAACAATGGGTCGAGCTGTATCGGTACTCGTACTCAGACCCAAAAAAGTGGTATCGGTGCATCCCTAGTCGAGCTGAATGGCATTAATCTTGAAGAGGCCGCATGAATATATATTATATGAATTATACATATATAGGCCACATCTATTTAGTTTCACAAAAAGATAATAGCACTTCGATAATTAATATCAAAGTAACAATTAGATTTTCAGGTATTGCACTGGAGAAGTGAATGGTTGAGCAAACAATATATATGCTTAAGTGACATGTTAAAATGTATAAGGTAAGAATAGTATTAAGGACATCACATTAGGCTACACCAGATAGAGATACATCAGTCCATGTAGTGATGAAGAACAGTATCTAATTTCCATGCACAACAAGAATTGTTGTTAGATACCATCGATCTGCCAAAATGACTTTTAAAACAAAAGAATATCTAGAATAAAAAATCCAGATCTCATCGTTTGGAAAGGACCAAAAGTAATGTTCAGGGCCTATGGTAACCAGAATGGCTGCCTTGTTGGAGCATCTACATGAAAGTTTTTGTCATTTGTGTTTAAAAAAAAAAAGGTAGTCAAACTTTGTTTTTACGTCCTATTTGGCCCACCTTGCCAATTTGGTGAGGGTCACACTTCTCAAATTCTCCTTTCATGCTTCGGAACCCCTCTCTGAATTTATCCTTCAGCCATCTCTCAATGTTGAGTGAGGCCTTCCTTTCCAGCTCTGCTTGCGACATTTCTCTTGAAGATTCTAATGAGATACAGGATAGAAATATAAACAAAAATTTAACTTATTTTTTTATTCTCTCTAGGTCCACAGTAGAGATCCTGTCACTGGTGATGACTCCACAGAGAAAGGTAGGCAATGCAGAGTAAATACTCACCTGGTTCCACATGTCCCTCCCTCACTGTTTGCATGAGTGAGGCTTTGTCATTTTACGGAAGCACTGCAGTACAGGGGCGGGAACTACCGGCGGCCCAAGGCAGTTTAGGGGCCCACTGAGGTCCTGTAGGGAGGGACACTTGCAGGGGAACTGAGCCGGTGCCCTTTGAAAACAGCGGCAATCACTCTTCTCATTGAGAAGAGAGAGCTGAGAAGAGTGATCGCCGCACTCGATCAGTGAAGCCGGCATACAGTAGTGACAGCTGCACACATTCTTCTCCTCCTCAGCCGCTGCAGCCACAGAGCGGCCAAGGGGAGAAGAATCTGTACAGCTATCACTACTGTATGCTGGGCTTTAAATCATTCAGAGACGGGCATGGAACAAGCCCGTCTAAAGGGATGCCGGAGATGTCCTCTTTGCTAAAACATGGGTGACGATGTTACTGACAAATAATGTTTTTCAGTGAAGTGGATGTTTTATCAAACATTCCCGGCATCCCTTCAGTCATGCAATTGCTTTGCCTGGTCCTGGGTGCTCTGTACATGCCTCAGTGCGGGCTCTGCCTTTCCAGTGACCAGGAGCAGAAGGGCTGCAGGAGACAGAGTGGGCAATCAGGTAGCAGGGGCTGGAGAGCAGGGCATCAGGGGACGACGACCGATACTCATGTGGGGGGCCTGGGACCCTTACATGGGTATCGGCAGTACAGGTGGCACAAGAGGTGGAGGCGGCTGGGCCGGGCCCCCGCAGTGCCGGGCTGCATCAGAGGAGGCCGGGCCCCAGCAGCGGCGGAGGAGGCTGGGGCCCCAGCTGCTCCAGGACAATTGCAAGAGATGGCGGCGGGAGCCCAGCAGTGAGAAGAGCGCTGGTGGGAGGAGAAATCATATCAGCCTGCAGGCACACTCTGGGGCAGCGCTGGGGCCTCGGCCAGGAGGAACGAGCAGCAGACACTGGATTTCAGAGCCTTAAGTCACATTGTTTGTAACCCTCTGTAACTGATGGAATTGTTCTGCATTTATTTATAAATCTGTATAACAATACTTTATACAGAAAGGCAGAATGGTAATGGCTATAGAGGACTACAACGTCCAGCAGAACTTTATACGGCAATGCAGAAATGCAAATGCTGTATAAAATATCTATAGCTAAAGCCATTCTCCATTGCCGTATAAAGTATTGCTGGGAGTTGTAGTCCTCTATAGCAGATAGGGATGTTTCAAGCGCATTTATTGTGCACTTTATTTCTATTATTATTACACTGTAATATAATGAGATTATTATAAAGTCAACATATTGCAGAATCAGTGGGAGTCCTGAGCTTGTTTTTCTGCTCTCAGGTGGCCATTGCGGGCTTTCAAATGGTCAGTTGGCCAGTATGGGCATTGTAAGACCGGGGGGGGGGGGGGAAAAAAAATCTTGCACCAGGACCCTTTGATCCTTACGTCCGCCACTGCTGCAGTATGTCCAGTATGTTACTCACCAGCGATGGCTAGCTCATCTGGACAGTGGGAGAGTGACATATGGAACTAGGTGTCTATTTACCGTGCTCTGCATAGAGATTCTGTTGTTGGTGTCTAGTGGGACATGGCCATAAGTGTTGTTCTTATAGCAAACCAACTGGCCCTTGTAAGAAGGAGTAGTAAACACAACCATTGTGAACCACTAAAAAGCTAGAACAGAGCCTGCATATGTAAGGATTGTCCCATATTTTTATATATAATTACAAGCTGACCACAGAAACATAGTTGGGTTTTTTTAAAATACATTAACACACATTGATACTATCATTAGCAGCAAGCTGATCATATTTTTGAAGAGATGAACAGTTGGTACATTTCCTTTAAACACACCCAGCCATTGTTTTTACTTTACCTCTCTTATTTACATTTCTAGAAGACTGATTTTGGATTTCATTCCCAAGTCTTTTCATCAGTAAGTCTCCTTTAATTACACCAGTTCCATCCACATCATACCTAACAGAATAAAATCATGGTAACATGTAAGTATAATAAAAAAAAACATACAAGCACCACAGATGCAATACATGCAATTCATTGTTTTAAGTGCTAAGAGAGTGCTTGTTTGTTCAAATATAAATCATTTATCAGCTATGGATTATCTCTATTTTTTATTCCATAATATAAAGTTGATCTATTTTCCCTGTTACAATTTAAAAATTGCAAACTTATTCTATGTGTTGAATGCTTCTTCCCTTAAAGAGGACCTGAAGTGCGGGAGTTGTGCCCAAACAAGACAAGCAAAGGGTAAAGAACTAGCTACCAGTATTGCCTGTACGCTCCCAAAGGCTGATCTTTTTCCCATTACTGATTTACCATGCCTCGTTCCAAACTGAGATAGCCAACTCGATAAAGGTCTTTCCTTCCTGATGTTAGGGCGCCCTCTTGATGATAAAGCGCCAGCAACAGAGGATAAGAAAGCACAGATCACAGAGTGAATGCAGCAATGGCATGAAGATTCATGCACTGCAGATCCTCAGGTACAACTTCCTCTCCAGCAAGTGAACAGCACAATAGTGGCATCACCAATTCTCACTCCAAATCTCATGAGCAGTAAGAGGCAGCAGTGCAGATGACCTCACACAGCAGATTTACAACTATGAGGCTCAAAGCACGGGCACATGGCAGGGCAAAAGATCAAGACAATAAGGGATATTTTCAGGTTAGTGATTAGAAACAATAAAAATTTCCAGGTAAGATAGCATATCTTCACATTTTGAGTTCAGGATTTCTATCACACACAATACAAGACAGATATCCATAACATACCTGCACAACCTAACCATAGAAAGATGCATGTATATGAAGATATGGATACACTGAAAGATTCACTAAGCTGAAAAACAATTAATAAAACCTTTTAAAAAGTTTGTTGAACTCTGCATCATCCAGGTGAAAGCCAAGTTGTGTCAATACAGCTCTAAATTCTGGAGGTAAAATTCTTGTAGTTCCATCTGTTGTCTTCTCTGATATCAGCTCAGAAAGTTCTGCAAACCTGGTTTTCAAGAAACAATTATAGTATTTGAAAAACTGTTTGTCAAGCAGATGTATAAAACACAGCTAAAACATGTTATTTGATTATGTGATGTGTGAGATGCTGCAGTGATTGAGATCCCAAACCAAAACTATTTAGGAAACCATAAATACTAAGGAAGAAACTTAGTTACAAATTGTAAATAGCATGGAAACCATCATCTTGCAGGAATTGGAAATGACTAACTTTAATTCTTAGAGAGAATCTTGTTATAGCTATAGAAAAGTAAGACTAGCACCCCACTTCCCCACCTTCCCACCTTAAGGCTGGGTTCACACCTGGGCGTATTTTTTCTGCTCGTTTTTCAGCTTGTTTTTTTCGCGTTTTTCCGTTCATTGAAACACGCCCTAGGGGTCGGGGAGGAAGAGCAGGAGGGACGAGCCTTTACTATTTCCACCTCTGCTTCTCCCAAATGGTTAAATTCATAACTAAGAGGATAGTGGAGTATTAATATTCAATACGGTCCGACAACCCCCTAAATTATGATGTCTCATAATATGATGTGTCATGACATGAGCTTTGAATCAAAACCAAATTTAGCATAGATATGAAAGATGGTTGGGCAAGGAGGCAAAATGTCGCATGTCCAGCCCTAGAGGATTTTAGTCTATATGTTTTTGGTATGTTTGTTTCTGTCTCAGTGAGACACAGCTATTTGTGCACTTAATTTTACAATATCACTGTCTAATTCCAAGTTATGAATTGTAGTTCATATTGTAACTTTTGGGCGAATGCCGGGTCACCTGGGTCATTAACTCTACCAGGCCCCCTGGCGTTTATCTAAAGCTGTTACTTGCTAATTTATTAGGGAATTAGCTGAGCTGGGCAAAAGCATTTCAATGCATTAGCGGTTTATGGCACCGTTCATAAAGATGTAATTGAAGCTGATCCCCATTAGTTACAGGGGAAACTCTAGATAACAATAAGTTTTAATGCTTCACTTAAGAACTATACAGATTACAGGTGCAGATTAGCAGATCTCTTTTTTTTGGAATTTGAAGAGACCTGAGTCATGCTACAATGAAAGACTGCATTTGCTTTAGCTAGATATAGTTAATATTAATAGACTAAAACCTCATTATCGTCACAGTGTTAACCTCCAGATATGCTGTCCAACTGCCCTACCTTCTCTTCGAACATACATGCTCTTGTGGTCTTCAGACCTGACCATCCCCTAAGGTCTATATCCAGCTGACATACTAACCTTTCTTCCCGATAAATCATATACCAAATTACATCCCCTCAGTTATTCTGTTCTTAAAGTGCACATGTAATTAACATCTGACAGACAGAAGGTAGTTAAACTTACTTGTACTTCATTTTCAATTGTGTGTGGACTTGGGATGCTGTCATTGAAGTTTTGTCATCTGCTTTCCTGTTAATGGGATCAAGCCATGTAGGTCTTCCTAATGGGACTGGATCCCTTATTGCTGCATATAGCTCTTCAAACTTAATTATAGTCTTTTCATTAAGCTTCAGTCTAAACCATAATGAGAAATAAATACTGTTGCCACAAAATACAACAACACACAACAGCCAATCACATACAAAAATCAAATTACAAGTGTCAAAATTATCCACAGCAACAAACAGAGCACAGTGACCATAAATATACTATAAATGATTATTTCTAGCACCTGATTGAGCCACTAAGCGGCACACATATTTATTTTTAGACATGTGTAATTCGTTTAGTTCCAAATCGAAATTCGGACGAAATTTCGGAAATTCAGACATTCGGATGTATCCAAAATCCGAATTACAGATATAACGAATGTATACGAATCCGAATCTCCGATTCCGAAATTCGTTAGTGGTAGTCTGTACGAAATTTCATTTGTTGGACGAAATTTCGTTGCAGCAGAATGACATTTGAGAAAAAAAAAGACATTTTTTTTCTCAAATGTCTTTGCTGCCACGAACGAACGAAACGAAAACGAAACAAACTTTCGTACAGACTACCCCTACCGAATTTCGTCCGAATTCGAATCCCAAAACGAATTGACTTTTGGAGCCGAATCCCGAAATATGAAATATCGCAAAATCCGAATCAAAACAAAACAAATTTTTTGCTGGTGCACATGTCTATTTATTTTCTGTGTACAGTAAACAGTATATGTTGCTTTTGTGAATTCACCTCATGAATTCACCCCAAAATGTCTAAAATATTTATGCAAACTTTTTCTTAGGTCCAGTTTTAATAAATCAGCCCCAACCATGTGTTAAAGAAAATAAAAAATAAAAAAAAATGGATTTTTGCTTGCATATGATTGGATGGTTGAAGCACACATCTTCACATTATTCACCAAGCGGAATGAACATGCGTTTTTAAAAGAAAACTTTTTTTACTTTTGTAGTACCCCTACTTATTAATAAAGTTTCTGCTTTATTGGCCGGGACTGCTGCAAGGTGTGTGGAGGGCTCCCCCATCGATTTACATCTGCTTTATTATCACACAACATTGTAAAATGATGTTTAGCCCCCTAGATTAATATGTAGACAGTATATCCTTATGATGATCACACATGTTTTAGTCTGATATAATTTATCCACCTGATTATTTCAATATTCTAATTGGACCTATGAAAATAAATGCTCTGAATAGGCATTTTTCAGCCGCTTCCGATGTATGTTATAAGGTCAAATTAAAAGGAAATGATCAGACAGGTTTTGAAAATGTTATTGAAGTTGTAGCATGTGTTGCGTTATCAAACATTATACCTAATTGTTCTTTTAGGACAAAAAAAAAAACAGTTTAAATTAAAATGTATTTGAAAATTGTGGTCATTTTTATTATTATATAAATAAAATTGAAAACTAAGCAAGCATTTTGTGGATTAATTGAAAAAGTATCCTAAAATGACATTCTAATTCTAATGAAACCATTAAAAAAATAATTAATGCAATTTTGTGCATTTGTGGATAGCATTATATCTACAGCAGCTCATATCCCTTATGTGTGTATAGGGGATCAAATCTGAATTTCTGTTTTTGTAAATGTGTGGTTTCTGGGTACAAAATTGTACTAAGAAATTGTAGTTAATTGTACTAAGAAAGCCGCAAAGTTAACCACCACCAGAGTAAACGGTCAGTCAAGAACTGAGTTTGTAAGTACAATTTTAACTCTTTGTTATTATCAGAAGTTGATCTGCACTATCCAGTGAACACTATACCTTATATACAATATTTTACTGTTCCTAATAAAAAAAACTGGGTGTTTTGTATTTTAACTTTGCTGAGTTAGCTAAACTAATGGCAAGCAAACAACTTTGTTTTTGAAAGGTAAAATATAATTTAACAGGGGCACTACTAATGCAGTTTTGACTACTTATGAATATGGAAACCATAATAAAAAACAAACTCACAACTATAACAACTGATGGCTGAGTTGATTAAGATATACCAAAAAAGTTCACAAGTGACATACAGTATATATTAATTGGTTTCTTGTCACTTACCTTAAAAGAAGTTGCTGATATTGTCTGGAGCTTATCATTCTTCCAAGGAATTTTGTTAACATCATAAGAAGAACATCTCTGTAAGTATAAGACAGCTATGTGAATCATGTCACCAGGTTATTCTGACAACTGAGAATAATATGAACTTATACTGCTCATACTTCATTGTATCATAAAGGTAGTATTTTTGAGTCACCTATTTCAGCTGCTTGTTCACTCAAACCTTTATTTATTATAATATGAACCTAGGCTATCTTTATTGGCCTCTTCAGGCTTTGATTTTTTTTGAGCTATGAAAATTTTTCTTGGTTTTTATTCATTGTTGTTGTTCTGTGATAGAGCACTGAAGTATCCAAAGTTATGTACAAATTTTCTATGATTGGAGAGGACTGATGAGTTCATGTACCACTATGTTCAGCAAATCCTGGTGACCACAGGGCCTTGTACCTGGCTCTTTTAGTAATGCATAAGAGAGTGGGAAGAGAAAGTCTGGCTTCTTCTCACACTTTTTGTGAGATCAAAAGGAATGTGACTTCTCACTGAACACTAACATAGGGGACGGTTACCCTTTTTGAACACCAATGTAAATGGACATTTTACCCATACATACCACAATTCTAAGGGGACATTTTTAATCCCACTGACCAACAATGTAAAGGAGACATTTTCAATGACCACCAATGTAACCGAGGTATTGCTAACTCACTAGCAATGGAACAGAGGCACTGACACTGACCACAGATGTAAGGAAACACAGACACTGACCACCAATGAAACACATTGCACTTTGTAAGAGGGAGACCACCAATATAAGGGGGAATTAACACGTACAACAAATGTAACACATGCACCAACACTGACCACCAATGTAAAACAGTGAAATGTGTAAGGGGACATTGACATTGACCACCAATGTAACACAGGCACTAACACTAACCACCAATGTAGCACATGCACTAATGCTGGTCAGCAATGTAACAGGCCACTGATACTGAGCACCAATGGAGGCATTTATAGTAACCGTCAATGTAACGCATTGTAAGAGGGAGATTAACACTGACCACCGATGTAACACTTTGTAAGAGGGACTCACTGACCAACAATGTAAGGGGACATTTACCACCAACATAACACAAGCACTGCCACTGACCACCAATGCAGCAGAAGCACTGACAATGACAACCAATGGAGGCATTTACACTGATCCTCAGCATAATGGGGACAATGACACATTTTACCCTTTGTAAAATGGCTACTTGTAAAGTAATGAGTTCTGTAAAATAGCTGATTGTTTTTTTCCATGGGGGGCATACAAATTTGCTCTATTTTTTCTAGTTACACCCAATCTTATTGTTTTTTGCTAAAACCCCACCAACCTGCTCACTTGTCCTTTGCCCTCTGGATCGTTGTTTTTAAACAGTTTTCGGAGACTGAAATAGCCACCAGACCTCGTTTTCTCACGTAATACATGCTCCAACTGCAACACACAATAATGATGTTTTAGAAAAGTAAGCAGTGCAAATAACAAGGGCTTTACGTGGTAAAACATAAGGGATGAAACTTACATAATATATTTTTAATTTTCAAATAAGAACAGGGGGAAAAAAAGAAAACACAGCACTTTATAATTGGGCCACTTTTAATGTGCTACCTCTTTGACCACAGATTTTGAAATCACACATTTTAAATATTTCATATAACACAAATAACTTTACTATCCATGTGAATATATGCTAATATCCTAAATTCCTATGATTTTTCACATTGAGTCACAAAAGAAAAAAAATTGATGGAAATGGGTGCAGCCTTTGCCCCAGTCCAGTGTTCTTCTTCTACAAATTCTGTTTTATAGGGGGGTGAAAGAATTTGGGAGCTACCATTGCTGACTTTTTATTTCAAAAGTGAAGGCTCCTGATCCTGTATATACAACCTGGTACCTCACTGGCTTGGTTGACACTGGTTGCACGTTTTTTTGCAGTGACATTGAAGATATTCAGCATAGTCTTGGCTTCATTATTAGTAGTAGTATGTGATTACCCAATTCCAATAATTTGGGCTCTATGAATGTTCCATGGAGATCCATCAATCCTTTTTTTCTATTAGGTCTTCTTAAAATAAAAGAATGAATGAGTTTAAGGTGGCTCTAATGCTTCCTCAATAAAAAATTAATCTGAAACTACCTTTCAAAGACCCCTTTTTCCGTGGGAGGTTTCTTAAACTGCGCTCTCTTGCAGAAATATGGGAATCTCTGTTATCTGACACTTCCAGATATGTCAGATATCGTGTCCTAAGCTGGCCGCTGTGGTTCCTTTTGGCAAACCTTGTATCACTACTGTATATTGTATTGACAGCACAGCACTAAGCACAATGGGGGACACTTTATTTTGACACATCTGTAGGTATGCTAAAGAGAGGGCACCTAGAGCTCTACAAAAAAAAAATGTCAGCACACTGAACAAAGTTGAGTATTGGTATTCTTATTTTGCATAGAACTTTCAGATTTATGCCACTGAGGAAGCGACCGGGTCATTTAAAAAAATAAAGCAACAAAACAAGATAGGCTCCGGAAACCCACCAAAGTTTAATGTTATGAGTGAGGCTAACTTTGTTACCAGAGAGCCATGTAAAGAAAGTGGACCTCTACTTAAATGCTAACATAAAGATATGTTAACAGTCTTGCTGGTATGGAAAATAATGAGCAGCAACAAGAAAAATTCTTACCTTTTCCTAGAGAAAATGCTGCTTTAGTCTTTCTTTAGTGCTAGCTACAGGTCTGAAGGCCTAGATGTTAGCTTAGATAAACTCTGCTGAAGGAGACTGAAGGGGGGAGGGGGGGGGGAGCAGCCATTCTGAACTATGAGCCTCCTTCACCACAGATAACATGAACAAGTGCCTAGGCTTTCAGACAAGTGGCCAGTCCTGTAGATAGCCCATATGTATTTTCACCAGGCATCATAAGCATTTCGGCCCTTCTAATTCTCTTCATTTATCCATGCCAGCAAGTCTGGTTTATGCTAACATTTCTGTATACATCCACTTTAAGGGGTGTATTTATAAACAATTTCCAGAGTCATTCATACTGTTCGTTCTGTGAGAATGGAGTCAAAAATAAACAGTCTTTTATATTTTATAGTATAATTAGAATGTAATACATATTAGGAAAATACTGAATTCCTTTGCTAATCAGCTCCCTCTAGTGGCTATAATGCAGTATTTTCCTGATGTTACATTTCGACTTGAAAGGAAATATACTAAGATTGCTCATTTTTGCCATTCGCAGAGAACAAACACTCACAGTTTTAAAGAACAAATAGCTTTGTGAATTGTTTATATATACACCCATAAGTGTTTAACAAGTAGCATGACTGTTTCTTCCATTTGAAATAGTGTAAAGCAGAACCATAATGTTTGTTCAGTATGTGCATTAATCATAGACATAATAGTTGTACACATTCCACAACACCAAAGTAACAGTCTCCATAAGTAAGGAAATTGTCAGTTATATTTGTACCTCATCCACTTCGAGCCTTAGTTGGGTTCCAGGCCGGGAAACAAGACTGGACCTGCTGCTGGCTGTACTCACTCTGCTCTCAGCTCGACTAGCAATGTCTGCCCTCTGACCTGCAGGTAAACATGGAAGGGAAACATTTATTGAATTTTAGACATAAGAGTTGTTATCACTGTTTTGTTACTGCTTATGATGAACTTAGTTTTTTAGCTTTCTCCAGTGGCAGCTTCAGACCTTGATTTTAGTTTAAAATGTTTACACTTCAAGTATTCAGTGTGATTTACTGTATATTGATATACATATAAAATAGGAAATACATGTTAATGTTATAATGTCAAAAATGAATAGACAGGACTCACATGCACAAAAATGTGTGCAGACAAAAACTAATTGAACATGAGAGACACTGCAAGTAAAACAGGTACATTTCATTTGATCTTATATATAAAAAGAGTCTTGTAATCAGTGTACAGGGATTTTGTTGCCCTGGATAAGTATTATGTGATAGCATGAGGGACACCACATCAAACATTAGAAAACATAAAACATTATTCCAGTGATCAGGGGACTCTTTTTACAAGTTAGGAAAGTACAAGAATTGCCATATTGTGAACATCCTCCCCCTCACAGTTTTCCTGCAATGGTTGCAGCAAATCTTCCCAAATGTCCTACATTTGAATGAATACACCCCCAGCTGCATATACTCATCTTCCCTTTGCTCCTCCACTGCTCCATTCAGTCTCATGGAGTGGATTGGATATGCATATAACTGTCTCCTTCCGGACAAGAAAACTGCCTTCACCCACCACAAAGAAAAGAACACATGTGGTCATAATTCTAAACCAAATTACAAACTTGTTTTGGGATTGTAAAACCCCAATCCCAAAACAGTTGGGACACTGTGTACAATCTATATAAAAATAGAATCCAATGATTTGCAAATCTCATAAACCCATATTTTATTCACAAGAGAAAATAGAAAACATAACAAATGTTTAAACTAAAAAAAAAAAGAGGTAATTTTGAAATTGATGGCAGCAACACATGTCAAAAAAGTTGGGACAGGGCAACAAAATGCTGGCAAAGTAAGTGGTACTAACAAGGAAGAGCTGGAAGAACATTTTGCAACTAATTAGGTTAATTGGCAACAGGTCAGTAACATGAGTGGGTATAAAAAGAGCATCTTAGAGAGTCAGAGTGTGTCAGAAGTAAAGATGGGCAAAGGTTCACCAATCTGTGAAAAGCTGCATCAAAAAATTTCAGAATAATGTTCCTCAATGTAAAATTGCAAAGACTTTAAATATATCACTTTCCACAGTACATAATATCATCAAAAGATATCAATAATCTGGAGAAATCTCTGTGCACAAGGGACAAGGCTAAAACACAATATTGGATGCCTGTGATCTTTGGGCTCTCCGACGGCACTGCATTAAAAACAGTCATGATTCTGTGATGGACATCACTGCATGGGCTCAGGAATACTTCCAGAAATCACTGTCTGTGAACACAGCTCGTGATGCCATGCAAAAATAGAAGTTAAAGCTCTATCATGTAAAGAAGAAGCCATATGTGGCTGGGATGATCGAGAAACTCCCCAAACTTCTATGGGCCAAAGCTCATTTAAAATGGTCTGTCGCAAAGTGGGAAACTGTTTTATTGTCAAAAGAATGACAATTTTCACATTCTTTTTGGGAACCATGGGAGCCATGTCCTCTGGACTAAAGAGGAGAGGGACCTTCCGGCTTGTTATCAGCCCTCAGTTCAAAAACAGTTCAATAAGCATCTCTGATTTTATAAAGGTGCATTAGTGCATATGGAATGGGCAGGTTGCACATCTGGAAAGGAACCATCAATGCTGGAAGATCTATCCAGGTTCTAGAGCAGTATATACTCCTATCCAGGTGACGTCTTTTCAGGGAAGGCCTTGTATATTTCAGCAAGACAATGCTGAACCACATACTGCATCTACAACAACAGCATGGCTTCATAGTAGAAGAGTCCGGGTGCTTAACTAGCTTGTCAGTGTCCCGATCTTTCACGGATTGAAAATATTTGGCACATCTTGAAATGTAAAATACGAAAAAGACCCAGGACTGTTGAGCAGTTAGAATTCTATATCAGGCAAGAAATTCCAGCAACTGGTCTTCTCAGTTCCCAGACGTTTACAGAGTGTTGTTAAAAGAAGAGAGGATGCTACACCGTGGTAAACATGGAACTGTCCCAACTTTTTTGAGACGTGTTGCTGCCATCAATTTCAAAATTACATAATTTTTTTCTTAAAATTGTACATTTTCTCACTTTAAACATTTTATATGTTTTCTTTTTTCTATTGTGAATAAAATATGAGTTTATGAGGTTTGCAAATCATTGGATTCCGTTTTTATATAGATTTTGCACACTTATTGGAATTGGGATTGTATTCTTGCTAGTTGTTTGTGCTTGAAACAATTTATAAAAATTATTGAAATCGAAACACAGGGTCCATCCAAGTATGGAGAGCCAGTGATTCACAACCAATTATCAGTCACCAGTGCTATCAAATGAAGGTGGAGAGAGAGTCCCTAGCTCTCTGGATGTTCTGTATGAATTTGAGCTTGTACAGAGTGGTAGGATAAGTAGCTGAGAAGGATAGCAGTTTTGTGAATCTGTGCATAGGCAAAACAAAGATTCACGCTAACCCCTTAAACTTAACCCCCCATCTCTTAACTTCACTAAACTCCCAACCTTTACCTCTAAAATGTAATACATAGCATGCATTAACTGACAAACATATACTTTCATTTACTGACATTCACTAACTTACACTAACAAAAAATTACTGTTAGATGTACACTTGTATCATGCGCACAAGTAAATTACCATCGAGTAATTCACAGGTTATAGCATAAGGCCCCACACAAACACATGCAATACTAGAAAAACAATGGTACCCTTCAATAGGTTAGGATAGGATAGTGTAGGCCCTGCTTTAAAAAAATTTGGTCAAAAACATGTCACCGTATGGGAAGCAGAATCATTTCTCTTTAGAAAGTAACATTTTTGGTCAACCATTAAAACAATGAGGCTCTGATTTTTCAGACTACAAAAAACACCTGTGTTGAGGAATAGAAGTATATACATTCACATATACGTTTTTCTCTTCTTTGCCATACTACTGGAGCCTAATGTTTAGATGATCATACAATTACTGTATTTGGACTTGTACAAACATCCAATATGTGACACTTAAGGTGGCCATACACTCTACAACCATCGCAAGACTTTAGTCTTGCGATGGTTGTAAAGGGATTAAAAAAACGTACGATCTGCCTATCTTGGACAGGCAGATCGCACTCTCGATCATCGCAAGCCCGCCCTCCTGAGGGGCGGGCTTCCGATGACCGCAATGCTGAACGGGCAGTGTGCGCGTGCGCACACCGGCCCGTTCAGCATTTATCTTCCGAGCACCGTTCTAACCAGCCGAGAATCGTACGATTCCCGGCTGGTTTTCGAACATGCTGGTTCGACAGAAGACGTGCGACCGTACAGTAGAAACGGTCGCACGTCTCCGTTCACACTGCTCGATTATCGTACGAAAACCCGATCGCATACGATTATCGTACGATAATCGTGCAGTGTATGGGCACCTTTACTCCCCTTACTCAGTAACCCTTAACCACTTACTCACGCAACTAATAACTTTCACTCGTGCATAAAACATACCCTTCTGAACCAGCCGTTCAAGGAATATGCACACTTTGCTAGCAATATATGTACCTTGAATATCAGTAGGCTAAAGCTCAAAGTGGAACGCCAAACAATTTTTGTATGCTTTGGATCAGTGTAGCCCCTCCTCTGGGTGGATTTCCCATCACTTCATTTTCTAGAGGTAGGTGGTTACCAGGACAGGGGGGGAAATCTCCCTACTGTGGGCAGAGACAGCAATAAAAACCTGATTGAACCTTGCCCACTCTGTCAAAAATTGAGAAATATTTGCCTTTTTGTAAATAAAGACCTCTATGAGAGAGTTTAGAGAGGTCTAACAATCAGGGAGCAGCTGTATGGTGCACCTACTGCCCCCTTCGATGTTTTGGGAGTTGTAAAATCTCATTTAATTTGAATTTTTATTTTAATATTTACCTGATCAGATTTTGGTATTCCTATGATTATTACATAACACATCTATATAAGTAACTATATATGGCTGAGAATGTTCTGTAGCATTTTCAGAAGGTGATTGACAATGGCACCCGCCATATTTGTCTTGACAAAATATTACTTAAACCAGTCTGATCATCTTTATAATTTGACGTTTGCATATAAGACACAGCAGAGATTGATACATTTATCTGATTCGTGCATTAAAACCTATAAAAGTGGGAAAACAGCACACAGCAATGACAATACTGCATGCTTTAGTAAAGAGAACCTATAGAATCCATTCCCTACTTTCTTTTTCAGGTTGTTATGACATTGCAGTTATTGAAGTGATTACGTGACATTTCACCTTTTCATATGGATTTCAGAGTGCTGGTTGGAATTTGAGATGTAACTGTATACACTGCTAGGTGGTTTGTCTTTTCACAGCCCATACACAATTCAGCTTCTTAATGATAATTTACGATGTACATACTGTTACAGCAGGTAACATATAATTATCCTGTACCTGAAATGTGTCACATTAGCAATTGTAGTGTAATATATAACTTATTATTAGTGCCTAGATTGTGCAATACAGGCTGGTGTATCTCCACTCTTAGTTCTAGCATGTCGGAAGTATAGTTAAATGATATTGCAGTGTTGAATTCAATTACACAGTGTATGCAATTATTTTTCATGACAGATAACATTGGCTTAGGTTATAAATGTGCCAATATTATTGGTTTCAGATTACCCATGGTACATCTATGCCTCTTCTTTGATTCTCTTGTGTTTTGTATAACGACTTATACATATACTTGACTTATGCCCCCAGCACATATTGTTATTTTTTTTCATAGGCCATGCTCATTGGCATAGATCCGTAATTAGCATTCTCTGGAGATGATCTATTTAACCACTAGAGGGAGATAAAAACCTGTAACCTTCCAAAAAATGTGTTTAGTTTTGGATCAATTCGGATTTTTTTCTT